GTTATCAGGAGGGAGTAGTCCCTGGAGAAGGACATCAAGCTTGGTAAAATAGGGGGTCAGCAAAAAAGAGGAAGACCCTCAACAAGATGGATTGACGCAGTGGCTGCAACAGTGGGCTCAAACACAGCAATGACTGTGAGGGTGGTGCAGGACCAGGCAGTGTTTCACTCTGTTGTACACAGGGTCGCTGTGAGTCGCAACCAACTCGATGGCACCTAACAACAACAATAAAATCACTGTTGAAGAGTCTCTTATGTCGCTCTGTCTCCTTTCATAAAGACCCATGTGATAAACTCTTCTTTAAATTTATTACCAGGAAACTTTGTCTCTCCTGAGGACCTTATACACCTCCTCTTTCAGGCAATAAGAACTAGGGCCCATGATTCCTCCCTATTTTTCATTAACAAGCTCAAAGTTAAACACAGTGACTTAATTTCCCTTAAGTAGAACCATGACCCAAACTACCTTCTACATGTTTCTGATCTCTTTATGTGACATTACTTTTAACTGTTCTGTTCTACATGTTTCTAAGTTCAAATCCTTTTTGGAAGTATGAACAAGTATTAATTATAAACAAACATAAAGAAAGAAATAATTAAAGCAGCAGTATTATTTTATTTTTACTACTACTAAACTGCTACTTAAATTATGCACTCAAGACCAAGGAAACTTAAAGCAAGCAATATAACAAAAAGCTAATCTATGATATACTCATTTAGGTAGGATAGTATGTAAAAGTGATCATGTGTGGCTATTATGTAAAACACAAAACCATGGAAAATACAAGTGTGTTCTGGGATTCTTGCTACTATGCTGGCATTGTATTTTACTGTTATTAATCAACAAATAGATACTGGGGATAAGTCCCAGTCCCAGTTAAAATCGGGGTTTATAAAAATGTTTAAAACACATCTATAAAACTAGGTGGGATCACAACCCCTTCCCCTGGGCCCTCAAACTGCCTCCATTCATTTCTTAATTTCAACAGTCATCTATGATAGACTCTACCAGTGAGGACAATGGAGACAAGCTCTTTATTTGGGATCCAGTGACGTGGGCAGGAGGAATGAATGAGCAGCT